ATGTGAAAAGTTAAAACTATGACAAAGTCAAAATATAAGTACAGCCACTCACCCTTTGACGACGGACGCAACGCTCAAAGAGAGTCGAGTTCTTTCGTCCCTTCCGTCCGTTTTCGGAATCGCTTATCCTTACTTGGACTGAGGAGCCAGGACAGAGACTTGAAAAGAAATCAATTTTTGGTTGAATTCCGAATTTAATGACACCATGAACTCGCTATTATGTCGGGGAATCACTCGTCCTTGAAAATCCAGCAAAAACCTTGAGTTGACGTCAAAGCAAAGCGAACACAGCATCAGGGCAGCTCTTCAAAACCCCTCGAGAACTTCTCCTCAAGTGCTGCCACTATTTGATTGACGTCTCGTTCTTTGAAGTACCTTTAGCCATGAAAATCATTCAAAAAATATATATATAGACACTTCGCAGCAACGAGATGTATGAGCTGCCGTGTTGGCTTGGCCCAATGAATCAACTTCTTTCATCTTGATGAGTGGCAACGCGTTTATCCTTGAATTCATCCTTTTCACAGCACAATAGTGCTGATTGAAATTAACTGTATAGAGCGACGAGCGGCACCCCCCCATTTTCAAGGTCAATCCTCCAAATCAAACCTGGACACCGTGCTCAGCCCATATTAAATGTCACACGTTCACAATATTCCCAATTTGGACTAGTCCATCTTGCTTGTATATTTCCGATTTAGGTGAATTTGAGTAGAGTTTGCCAAAGTGCGCGTGTAATTAAATGGCTGCTTCAAAAAACACTTCCTGCTTTATCTTCAGTCTCAGGCAACGGGCATCGGTTCTTGGGATTTTTTTTTTTTTGTTTCGTCAGGTACTGTTTGAAAGACCCCCGCCGCCCAAAAAATATTTATATATACATTTTTTTACAAATGAACAAGAAATTGAGGAAAACAAGGTGGCATAATCATTTTTTTTCCATGACTGTGCGTTCACCAGTGCAAAAAAAAAAAAAAAAAAATCATTTTCAGGAATATTTAGCACCCCCTAAAAAGGCTATTAATTTGGTGGAAGAAGAATAATAAGCATTCCGGAATGAGCGGGGACTGCCTGAGGATCCCTGAGGCGCTCTGACGCCAAAACTGCGGACTCTTTAAAATGTTATGAAATGCTTTATTGTCATCATCTTTGGACACTGCCGGAGCTGACTTGAAGTCCCAGCGATGTCAGCAAGACATGAATAATCCGCTTACATTTCAAGCCAAGCGCTGCATAACTTGTCATGGGTTTTCGCTCGCGTCCTTTTGTTGCTGTCGAGTCGTCTCTGCCAAGTGCATGACAGAACACACAGGACTTTTCTCGCTTACCGTCTTTTCTTCTTTGGCTTGTTTTTTTTTTTTTTTTGCTACTGATGCTGTTTGAAGTGCGCCGAGTTGTCGGAAATCTAATGAGTTCAAATAGGAGGTGAGTTTGCTGTAATCCAGCAAGACGACAGGCGTCGTGAATGAGGCTCTCTCATCATGCTCGATATAATATACATACTATATATTACAATTAGGGATATTTGCATGTTAAAAAAAGGGAGCCTTTTGCACACCTCCGCAGACTTTCACTGACCTTGCTGAAACTACTGCGGAATATTGGGGAAAATTAAAAACATTCCCATCCTTCTTTTTTTTTTTCAACACCTGGGCATAAGTCTAGCAAACAGAAGCAGACCAAAGGGATCTCACGACATGAAATTAACATTTATTACCTCTTTTTGAAACCGATAACATTCACTCTTATAGTAAGATTCTGTTACGTCTCCTACCCATGTAGTAGCCACACTAACGCTAGCTCAGTTCCACAGCTGTCCGTGGGAATTTTAGTAAAGTCGGGCTCCTTTCAAATCTTGCTAGCAGCATTTTCATATTTGATATAAAACTGCGACCACAATAATAAACATTACTAATACATTCCTGCCATTGGATCTCATTAGTTTGTATGAGGTCAGCGCTGACAGACAGGGAATGGGGACACCGGCTGAATTGCAACTCCCATTTTCTCTGGAAGTAGAAAAAGAAGAAAGAAAAAAAAAAGTCATAATGGAAATGCTAAACCTGGGCGGACGACCTGACAAGTTGGACTATCATCTCACTGATGGCCTTCGCTTGGAAAAGCCATCCCAGAGGCTCTTCATTCATTACCAATAGTTCGCTCTCACTTTGAACGTGGCGTACATCTATTACTTCTGTGATTGCATGCAAATCTATGACAAACCGGGGCCCACATTAAGAAGCAAATGAACACTAAGATAGAAGAAGATTCCTCCCCCAAAACTGTTGCGCCGAGCAGGTTTTTAATCACTTGTCAAATAGAAAGTATCACATCACCCAAACTTTGTGAGTGTAATGTCATCAAGCCTTCAGCTTTCTTGAAGTCGGCAGGGAGAGGGAAAAAGAAATATAATTAACCGACGCGAGATAAAGTTGCCAAACACGACGCGTCTGCCGCTAATGGCTGCGCGAGACGCCGACGTCTAACGCGATTGAACCGTCAATCAAAATTTCAAAAGGAGAAAAATTCTAAATAGCAGTCCGAATCTGAGTTCAAGTGGATCTTTTTTGATTTTGTGATTGATATGTTTTGTTGTAATATGATGAAATGCATGAAGACAAACTACCCATTTGGTCAGTGTCATGTTGTGTGAAGGCAGTGGACCCAGAAGCAAGGTGGACTGAACCAGAATGTATTCGCAAAAAAAAAACAAAAAAAACAAAAAACACTTGCTGGGGTACACTGGAAAAACGAAAAAAAAACGAAATCCCCCCCCGTTCTGGTGGCGCACATTCTATGGCTGTCACCTGTTCCTGTTCCTGTGCTGCACGTCCTGCGGCCGCCACCCATCCTCTTTTAGGCGACGCATGACCTACGGCCGTCACCTGTTCCTGTTCCTGCGGCCACTACTGGGTGTTTTAGGTCCTGATTTTTTTTTTGGGGGGGGAGGGATTGTTACTTTTAATTTTGATCTTTTCATGACTTTGTTCGTGCTTTTGATTTTGTTTTTCCAGAGTTCCCCTGCAAGTGTTTTTTGTTAATAAATTTTGTTCAGTACACCCTGCTTTTCATGCCTCCCTGCGTTTTGGGTCCACTACCATTACGCACACTTGACAGATAGGAATTTGAAGAAGCCAATTGGAGTTCATTGTATGTATGAATTGTAACCAAAAAAAAAATTGATGGGTTCTTGCTTAAAAAAATTATCTTCAAGACTCTGGGACAAATAAAGGTTATCTTATCTTAAAATCAGAGGAAATGTAATGTGAATTGTTTTGGACTATCCATCTGTGTAATAAAATCACTTGTGTTCCAAGCAAGATCCCCAATAGTCTGGAAAAAAAAAATCTTGCGGATTCTTGCTTGGACATAAGACTTCTCTTGGAATGAAGAAGTATGAGCGTGGACATGTTGAAAAGTGCAGGTGACAGGTATCGATCTGAACTTTGACAACAGATTCCTTATTCATCTTGTGTCAGATGCTCAAAATCAATTGTGTTCTTGCTTTGACATTGGACAATAAACCCAGCGAGTATGGGGGTGAAATCAGATGGGTTATCGCTTTGACAATATTCCCGGAGACTCTGAAAAGAAAACATGGACTGATTTGGACTACCAATTGGGTTCCGAACAAAAGGAGTCAAAAGACAATCCGAAAATCATTTGGGGTCTTGCTTTGGTGTAGCAGTTCATTTCGAACTTTCGAGAGACTACTATATCTTCAGTTGTGTATGGTTAAAAATCAATATTGTGCAGAACCTCGGGAGCCTGAAAAGAAGTCAGAAAATAAGTAGATTTCTTGCTTTTTTGGAGAAGTTCATAAATGTTGAAGATCGGCCCAAAAACTTTCTCCGGTTAAAAAGCACGTTTTCGTTTCGAATTTGACATCAAATAGCTTGCTCGTCTTTCCTCAGGTATCAAAATCAATAGTGTTCTTGCTTTGACAGTAGCCAATTAGCCCAAAGATCAGTTAGACAGCTCAGGGAACATGTATTGATTTCGAGTAGCCCACCTCAGCCAACTTGTGTCAAGAGATTCAAAATCGGCGGACAGATCTCGCGATAGAAACATACACTCGACTATTGAGTCAGGCCGGTCAACAGTAAACATTTATTTTTTTTTAATGTTGCTTTCATTGTTGCCACTTGGACAGAACTGATAATGTTTTTTTTTTGTTTTGTTTTTTCATCCACGAGGAAAGCTCACCACCAGGAAAACCACGGGTTTATTCCCAGCGCGTTCGAAAGCAATCGGAGCCTATGAATATTAAAATGGTGGCATTCGCATGGGCGTGAGGCGCTAACGCGACAGAGGCCTTGAAGAATTAATGCACCTTGCCCGCTAATTTATTCATGTGATTTACAAGCGAGGAGCGGCTACACTTGATTTGATTTTTAGATTTTTTTTTTTTTTTAGATAATCAGCAGCCATATTTTCCCCAATTTGGTTCTACTAACGACGACGGTACTGCCCATCGTCGAACAAAAGTGACCATTTTCCATCAACCAATCAATGGAATGCTGTGTGTGTAGCTCCGCCCACATGGGGGTAGTCCATTGTGGTTCCGTTATTTTGGTACCCCATACAGCTTAACCAAACTGAACTTGATGAATACTATTTTAGGGCTTTCGAGGATAATATTTGAATCTTTATGTGACACATTCAATTCCAAAATACAAATTTTTTTGTTTTACTTTTCCTGTACATACCATCCAGTTTTTGTATGAGAACCCTTTGTTCAGCAGCTTCCATAAAGATTTTGTTGGTTGTAAGGACAAATTATTTGCATTCAAGCAATAGAGAACTTTTTTTATGTGTGTGTACGTCACACATTCAATCCTGTGGCTTGGCTCGTGACAGTTCCAGCGAATACCGTCTGTTTTGTTCCATAAATATTCCAGGGACTTTTTTTTTTTCACATAAGTGCAAACAACTTCCTGGTTTGACAATCAGGTCTCTGGCCGTCTGTTTTGTTCCATAAATATTCCAGGGGCTTTTTTTTAACATAAATGCAAACAACTTCCTGGTTTGACAATCAGGTCTCTGGATGAGTTCAATTTTGTCTAGCAGCTTCCAATAAATTTTAAGAGGTTTCAAGTCAAAGTATTCATACTTGCCCAAGTAGAAGTTTCTGTTCAATCCCACTTGAAGTCCCGTCCGACTGTTTCAAAGAATTTGATGTTGAAGGGTCTATAAAACTCCTGCAGCTGCTCAATAACCTCCTGCTCTATTTGTACGTGAGTTCTGCCCTTGGACTTCCCCAAGCAGCGAGGCTGCCCGCTGCTCTCCGGCTTCTTCAGACACGGGAAACCCTTGGTCCTGTTGAAGTAAAAGTGCTTGTCTGAGATGATCCTCTTGAGTCCCAGGAAGTCCTGAACGCGACCCATCTCGCCCGCCGGGTCCGTGATGAGGCGTTCGCCGCTCACAAAGTGCATCTGTGAGAGGTGGAAATAGCGCAGCCAGTTCTCCAGGTGTAGAATGTACATGCCGATTCGGATGGCGTTCCACGAGGTGTCCACGACGCCCAGGCTCCTGTTCTTAAAGGCCAGATCTTCAAAGGTGGGGATGTCGGGCTTCTTTGATAGAGTCTGCGTGTAGTCCGAGATGGCCCGGGTGACTGGGTTGCGCACCACCACGATCAGTTTGGTCTGATGGGACATGCTGGAGATGCGGCGGGGCGCCTCCCTTGTGACAAAGTAGCTGGGGGTCTTCTCCAGCGTGATCTGACTGTCCAGTGTTCGTGGCATGAGACCCCTTGAGGGGAAAAACAGAACAAAACAAGTTGTTCATAGATATAGAAGTTAGATTAGGTATTGTAGTTGACTAGCAACCAGTCCAGGGTATACAGAAAAACGCCATATTCACGGTTTGGCATTCGGGGATTTTGTTTTGGGGCCTACCATGATTCATGAAAAAAAAAAAGCTTACATGAAGAGTTCTGATGTAAAAAGGATAAAATCTCACGCTACAACAAATGAGCAGTCTCATTTTTACAATTTTGCCATCATTGTTCTTCACGCAGTCTTTCTCCATCACCTGAACGTCTGCATACTGGTTGTCTCTTTGTTTCCGTAAAAATCAGAGCACAAAACTCTCTAATGAGAGTATTCTTGCTCTCAGCTCATCCATCGTGTTGGCGTGAGACCCGACGTTAGCTAGCAACAATGTTCCTGTCGCTCTAGCCTTCAGTTTAGCATGTAGCCTGCTCTTGCGCGTCTCCGTCTCGGTTATGTTAGTTGATGGCTACTTCATCCACTCAATGACTCATAACAAGTTCATCAAAAGATATGAAAAGTGGTTGATTGGTGGAGTGGGTCATCTTAAAATTTCTCCTGCAAGTCAAAATAGCCCAAACTTTTTGTAAGTGGTACACAGTACATATATGATGACAAATATTGAAAGTTACAAGTGACAACTGAACATCAGGTCGTAGACACTGTAAAAGTATTAGCTCTGCTTCTCACACCAGAAAGCGTCGTTTTTATTTTTTTGCAATTTCTCACAGCTCTGTGCTTCAGTGTTTGGATGATTAAAGATGACATTTCTTCATGATGAGTGTGAGCAGGCTTCGATTAAAAGGTAACCTTTCAAACTCCAGCCATAGGTTACCTCTAAAGTCTCACCGCTATCGATCCGTTTTGCTTTATTCATCCCAAGTCGTCGTGGGCCCCCGGAGCCTTGGGGGCCGGAGAGCAAACAATTAATCTTTCCCAAGAACGCCGCTTTTTTTCCCCAGCAAATGGCAACTCATGAGCATTTTTCACAGGATTTGTGCGTACGCTTGTGATGATTGCAACAGGGGCGTGGAAGGTGTCTGCTGCAGGCTGTCAAAGCACACACAAAAAGGGCTGACAGTGTGAAAGTTCACAGATGGAGCGTCTTTAAATAGTACCAACACTGACAGGTTACTTAGAAACACACAGACTACCGTATTGCACTGCGCTGTCTGCATTCCTTCACTTTGTACTGTGGTGTGAACACCAGGCAAATTAGGTGCATCACAGCAGCTGTATTCAAACGAAAGAAGTAGGCACCAAGGCAATTTGGACAGACTGCGTGTGGGACATTATTTTCATTGTTTTATTGTGTGTACTGTAGATAGCCAGCTTGCTCGCTAGCTAGCTAACTAGACAGGTAGGTAGATAGCTAGCTAGCTAGATGGATAGCTAGATAGCTAGATAGCTAGATCGATCGATCGATCGGTAGATACTACCTAACCATTACAATCGGTCAATGCGCCATTGATTTCCAAAGTACTGCAACTGATTAACCGACTGACCAATCCACCAACCAACTAATTAACTAATTGAACAACTGATTGTCAGAGAGATGAACCAACCACTCCAGCCATTGACCAACCGACTGACAGACACAGACAGACTGACTCACCGATAAATTAACTCAAACATAAAAACTTCTCATCTGTAACTAAGAAGGCTGATAATAAATAACAAAAAAAAAAATCTGTCAGTTCCCTTAGTTACTATTGTGAAAATGTCCAATCAAATCTGCATCAAAAACAAACGTTTTGTCCTCCATTAAACCATCTGCATTGATGTGCAAACTGACTGAATGACTGACACACAATGAACCAAAGTGACTACCTATCTTTCAAACTCACCAACCTGCTTACAAGATTCACGCTACTGCGAAGGAATTAAAAATTAAAGCTGACCAAAATGGGACAGGTACTGAGAAGAAGAATCATTTCTTTTGTAAAAACTCTTACATCTTTATTTTCTGTTACACACCCACACAGAATTGCACACACACGCACACACGCACTAAGTTGACGGTGAATTAAAGTTTAAGTCAAGATGCATTAGGAGGCTTGGCGGTGACATTTTAATGACTTAAAGAAAATGAACCCGAGTGAGGCGAGGACAATACGTTCGATACTGTTAGCACAGAGACTTTGCCGCATGCTCCGAAATACTTGAACGGTCCTGTAATTGCTTACTGTGTACTCACCTGCTTGACAACTTTAATTAGTGGTTAAATTGTTAATGAGATATACAATTATACATCCAGCGTTTTCAATAATGAGGAGTTTTCAATGAGTGAGCCATTAGACGGCACGGTTGTTAATAGTGGCATTATTATTTAATAATGCATTATCTATTCAATATGTGCATTGCATTTAATGAGCCATGGACAATCTGTTCGAAAAGACTGCGTGTTTATCTTACACCACACCGGAGACCGCATATCGTGTAGGCTACCTAATGATGTCTTGTGAGTGTGAATCCGCACTTTAGTGCAACGAGGACCTCTTTGACCTTGAGACACAATCCGACAGGTTCTGTCCTCAGCAAAAGTTGAGATACATTATTCTCTTCACTGTCAGAATCTAAATTCAGTGCAGTGTTCCATTTTAGGATACATCGTAGAGAGTCTTAACTGCTTAGCCTGTGCAGGCGGAGCTGGTGCTCACCTGTGCCAACACAGGCCGAGAGGATCCTTGAGACGAGCGGGGCGGCACATTAAAGACCTGCAATCGTGCATACAGTCACGCACTCGCTCCTACAGGAAATTTCTTGTCTCCAATTAACCCAACTCAATTGTTGTTTTTGGACTGTGGGAACAAAGACAAAAACCCATCCGCAGTAATTCTCTTCCAATGTAGTTTTTAAAAGATCAAAAGCAGCAACGGTAATTTTCGTGGATGCGGCAATGTAGATCAACCAATCAGATTGGTCATTTTTGGCTCGGCAGAGTTCATTCGGTACAATTATAACAGCTCTGGAGACCTTGTGAACTCTGCCTAGCAACAAGTCACACGGTGTGACCAATTAATGATGAGGCTCGACACAGAAATGGAGCTGTCCAATCACTGCTCTCTATTACACCCTTCACAATGGAAAGGGACCACGACCTGATGGTACAAAGCAAAATAATGTCCTCAAAAGTACAATGACATTAATGTGTACGTCAACTCGTGAAAATACCAATTACTACTTTCCTTTCATAGCCAATTCGTCATGTTTTTGACTTAGTTATACGTCGATTTGTCTTTTTTGAATTCAATATGAGATCACAAATGACTCGTTAGCTTCAGTCGGGCACATATTGCCCGTCTAGCCGTTAGTGGCTAAGCACGTCCGGCACTGCTAATAGCAATCAGGACCTTTCTTTGAAGCATGCTGAGGTGTTTCTAATTCTTTCCAATTAGAAGACGGACAAATTTTGGGTTCAAGAAACAGTCCCATTGCTACAAGTTATATTCGCCAGCGTATTCTGAAGGCCATGGGCAGGTTGATGGCAGCACATCGAGGCTAAAATGTGATTGGATTAAAAAAAATAAATAAAAAATAAAAATCAAACATCCACATCTATAAACTGGACGCAATAAAGAGAAATGCTCCAAAATAAAAATAATGTCGAGTATAACTTCTCTGCGTAGACCAGCAAAGAAGGCACTGCTCACCTCGATCAAGTTTTACCCTCTGTCATGTGTCATGATGTGAAACCCTCAGCGAGAAGGAGCAAACAAAAAACACGCGGCCTTCGAGACGTCTCCTCCACAGGTACTTTGGGTCAAGAGCGGAACACAAAGCGCCCGCTGCTCCGTTGCATAATGAGCGCTCACTACTAAAGCGACCTCCGAGAGCACCCGGCGGCTGTGTCGCTCCGTGATTTATCTCGCTGCTGCAGCGTGATAGGGAAGCGAGAGGTCTAGGAGGTTCACACTCGCTTCCCTTTGGGACGCGGCTACATCGTTATGGAGGAAGACGACACCCATGTCTTCTAATTCAAAGCGCCGCGGACTCCCTATTACGCTGTGATGCCGCCACGGTGTGCATCTCAGCTGGGATAACAAAGCGACTCGCACCACAACAACGCGGTGACTGTGGTTGTTTGCCTAATTAGTTCACACACACGATGTTGACAAAATTATTGGGACAAGCAGAGCTCAGCTCCTTTTGAGAGTGTGTCTGCGGGGATTGCTTCCTTGGACAAATATGAAATTCATATATTTGACCAACCTCTCTAAGATTATTCACAATTGAACAAGCTCACATACATACATAAATTTTGGATATTGAAAATGTTATGAAAGGGCTGCTAGCTTTGGGCTAGGGCCTATATTAATTGTGATTTAATGCAAAAAAAAAATGGCCTTTGTCTCTTTCTGGACAACAACTATTTGTCGTTGTAAGTAAAAATAATGGCACCCATTGAACAATATGCGCCCTCTGGCTTCAAATTCGTGGCTGTCCCGTCTCTTGAGATCTTCACCTAAATAGTCAAATGTAGGGCAAAGTCTTTTGGGATGGTCATTGGATTAATTTTTGTCCTGAATACTTCAGTTAAGCGGCCATGACTACCGAAAACAGCTGAGGACACGGGTGTGTACAAGGAAGGAGCAGATGTCACATTCGTATTGTAACAATCAGGCAGTCCAAATGGAGTTCTCGCCACACATTAGGAAAGCAACTTGTGGGGGAAGAGTCGTACCCCATTTGTCGCAAAATGTCCCGAGAAGCTGACGCACCGTGAATGGAAAAAAAGTTTAGCTGGAAAGTGGAGAGAAAATGTCCTCAACTTGAGTGATTCTCATAAAGTCTCAATTGCTGCACCTCGTTAAAAAAAGAGAGACCAAAAAAAGGCATCTTGCTCTTTTCTCGATATGACAGATAGAACGTCGACAGCTTCTCCATTATTAAAAGTATCCCTCTAAAATTAGAGCTGAAAAGACGTCCGGTCATGAATCAAAATGCAAGACTTTCCGACTGTGGAGGGTTCAGCTCAGATTAAAAGTGCTAAATGTAAGTTCAAAGAAAAAGTAGACTAGTTCTGCTACGCTAAAAAAGAAAAAAAAATTGCATAAGACACTTGACCTTGAAAAACGCTTGTTTTTCTACCGGAGGGCCTTGACTTTGGAATAACAAGTAGTCATAGTTTGAAGTGCGGAGGGAAATGACTGACATTTGCTCTCCCTGAGCAATAAGACTGTGAATTGAAGCCATTTTAAGGGCTGTCACATTAACAGCAGGCAGGAAAAACGAATCAGCCGATGTCGTGACGGGGCTCTGATAGCCTTAACGGCACAGTCAACAACAAATCTTAATGTAACAAACCAAGTCATGCTCATGAGATTCAAAAACAAACACATTTGGTCAAGTTTGAGTTTGAATTCGTGTCGACGACCAAAACCTTCCCCAAAAGCCTGACAATGAATTCATACTCCGACTCGTTTTGTCACGAAAGTAATAAATGAACCGTGTGCTACCACCAAATGACACCAAGACGCATTGACATAACATAAAAATTTGACAAAAATTTCGAAGATAAGTTTAGTTTGGAAGAACATCTGGAAATGAACCCTTCAAAATAAAATGGCAGATTTGCTATATCTTTTCGAGCATGGCTTCTTGAGACTTTTTTGTGGGTCTCCTCATAGTAGACATTTCTATCAAATTCCATGTTGCTCAGTTAAACAGTTTTCAGGGGGCTGAATTAAAAAAATAATAATTATAACTGAGCATGCTATTGAACAAAAATGACCACTTCTACCGAAAATCACCGATTTCCTGTTTTGTTGCGGCATAGAGCGTTGAGACTATTTTTTTGTGGGTCATGAAAGACTTCCAAATTTGATGTTGCTAATCTATACTGTTTTCACGGGTTACATTTTCAAAACTTTCAAGGGGGGGGGGGCATACTGATCCAAGAACGATCAAACGTCCGTCATCATTTAATTCTTGTTCATCGGAAACCTTGAATTTAAGAAGCGGCAGCAGCAAATTTGGATGCATGGGATCGCGGCAGAGTTTACTGTACAGCCTCCAGCAACGTGGCGGTCAAGGGTATTTCTCGGTACAGGCGGATTTTTCCCTGCTTCACTCGTGCCTTGGATGTTTGCCATATAAAAGGACGTAGAGACACAAGAGGAAGAGTTCAGGCAGGATTTGATCTTGGCGGACATGTCGGTTCACCAATGGGGGTGGGGCGATTAAAAATAAATCTTTTTTCGGATTTCTGAGTGCTAGGATATCGTATCATCTACCCGCTGCGGGGTTATATACATGGAAGAGCGCATTCAAACACATGAGACTATTTATTGGCGCAGCATGAGAGATGGGAACCACTGAGGAACCCCCGATATGATATGATACTGATCGTGACACACCAAGGTGATGATGCGATCACTGAGATACAGGAAGAAAAACTGATTCGGCTGCAGGATGCGGCTGTGGGATGAGGAGGGCGATGAAATAGAATAAAAATGTCATGCCGGGGAGAGCAAGCAACGTTATCACAATTAGAAATGTAGAAGCACAAAAGAAATGCGTCGGTGGGGGTGGGGGGGTTCTTTGCTCAAGGGATTGATGCAAGTGAAAACGTTAGGGACACTAACAAGGGCAAAAGAAAGTGAATAACAAAAAAAAAAAATAAATACAAAGTACAAAACGGACTTTTCCATATTTTGTAAATGGAGTGAAGTGAATTTTTTTCGGGAATGGTAATTTTTTTCGGGAACTGTAGTTAACCTCATCGTTACAGAAGTGAGTTCTAATGTGATTATAATGAATTGTAATGTGTCGGTGCAACCGCTCCCGAGGTCAAAAATTATAAAATAAATACATAAATAAATAAATAATTCAGAAGTTGCAGTTGAGAGAAAATCAATGGGTGACATTTTTCGTAATTGATTACGCGAGCCATTCATCAAACTGAGACGCGGTGAGGGTTTGAAATTAAAGTGTCAATTAAAGTGGATTTGAGTAAAGACGACGGCGTCAAACCACGAACGTGCCAAACGATTCATTTTGACTCCTGATGGCTGTCATGGATATTTTTTTTTTCCTCCCTGCATAAACATCACCACTCCAGCCTTCAACGCTCGACTTGTTGCGCCGTGGTGCCTTTTCCAGAAGACTGGCTGGAATGCACGCTTACTAGCATCAAACATAATGAAACATGATGCCCAGAATGTTTGAGCGCCCTCGTTCGCAGTAGGCGCACTCATATTCATCTGATGTCCTTCATTTGGATTTTGATACATGCTCGGCAAGTGACACCAAAAAAAAAACTGCAATTATTTAGTGAAGGCTCATGGTTTGATATCACACACATTCACCACAAACAGAATATATGCCTGTAGGTAGTATTGTCTACTCTGCTTGTATGCATTGCTGCTCCATGTGGAAAGAAGCAGTTTTTTGAACGTTTATAACTAGTCAGATCTATGCAAATTTCTACGATGTTTCTCATGTTACAGTTAGCATTATGCTAGCTGACTGGTCAGACAAAATATGATTTGGTTGAACGTTTTGGTGTTTAAATATACAATGTTTGACGAAATTGTTTTTGTTTTCCGTTTTATGTTTGAATTAAAATGTGTTTAAAGCATGTGGGAGGAGTCATCTAAAAAACATGGTCTCTATATTGCAGATTTTCAGGTGGAAGATTTTACTATTCGCTCTTCAATATTCTGTATGTCTGCCGTCAGAATGACTTTATGCTTATCTGTCGACAGCAAGGGTGAAATAGCCGTCACTCAAAGCCCCCCCCCCCCCAACCCCGCCGCCCCTTGACACACCACTGTACCCTTGTCTCATTCCAATGTGTTTTTCTGATTTCACAGTTTCCCCAAACGCGGCTTTACCCCTTGGTAGACTACAATAAAGTTACGCTTTTCAAATAGGCCAACTTCAGAAGAGTTCAACAGGAAACTTTGCATTGTTGTTACTGACATGTTTCAACGTTTGCTATGTGTCGATTCGAAATTCCAATTTCCCAGTTTTATTGAACGCAGCTTTAAATGTTTGTTGGAGTACACAAAATGACACATTCCAAATAGCATAACTTCTGAGGCGTTACATAATAGAAATCCCACAGTACATAAAAAGTTGACATCACATATTTATGGCTTCATCCTGAAGATAAAGTCTGAGCAGCATTCCACTGTACGATTCCGATTCCCCACCCAGTGGGCACCTGATGTCAATTGAACATCAACGCGACATCAATTGATTGATTTTGATGTTATATGAAGGTTGAATTGACATCAGATACCCACCGGGCAAATTTGCTTGAATGCAGCATGAATGTTTGTGGTTAGAATGCAACAAAAATCCACATTATGAATGAATTGCCGTTTTACATTCATCACTGGCGGTAAGACGTCAGATGTCATTGCATGGGCTTGCCAAAAACAAATTTCCCAGTGGTACTTTTCCAATTTCCCAGTTTTATAAAATGCAGCAACAACTTCAGGGGCGTTTGACTTCCACAGTGGTGTACATAATTAATCTAATGATTATTTCATGCATCTTTCACATCCAACACGATTCCACTGTGCCTTTCTGTTCTGCACACTACATCATTTATAGCCTTGTCTAAGTACTGGTATAGCTTTTGTATTATTTATTTTTCGGTTGTATTTTTAATCCGAATACAAATTGAAGGTGCACCGCAGTTTCGTTATATTTGCAGTGTACAATGAAGGTAAAGGCTTTCCGTTTTATTCTGGTTGATTCTATTCTACTCCAATTCGATTCAATTTTCCCTGACGTTCGTGATATCAGAGTCAGAATCAGAAATGTCTCCATTCCAACACACGGACTTCCCCAAATAGAAATGTCGACTTTAAAGTGTGACTTGACTAATTTCCCAGGTTTCCCAAATGCAGCATTTACGTATGTTGTCGCAAATAGTACGCATACGTCAGAATTGATGCAAATGAACGATGTGACTCAAACAAGAAGGAAAGAAATGTTCAAGGCTGAAAACTTGACTTTGTTTTGCCCACCTGTACCAGTCGAGTCCTCGGTCGTAGTTGCGGTCGAAAAAATGGGGTTCGGTTCCGAGCGCGCGCACATCTGGATGGATCCGAATGAACTCCAGCACCGCCCTGGTTCCTCCTTTCTTCACTCCCACTATTAAGACGCCAGGGAGTTTTTTATTTCCGTACCTTTGCGCCAAACTTGAGTTTCTCACCCAGCGAGACGGAGGAGAGGGAGGAAGAGGAGGACGAGATCCGAAAGCACCGGGAGGGGCTCCGGCTGCGGCTGCGGCGGCGGCGGCGGCGGCGCGGACCCACCGCAGACGGGCACACTGCTCCGACTGGGCGAGAAGTTTCTTCCCGGCCGCGTTGGGGTTCGGCGGGCATCGGCTTCCCTCGTGCACCCGACCCGAAGTAACGGTTGTGCGGCCGAAGATGATCGTGTAGCACAGGTAGGTACACGACAGCGAGACGGTCAGCATGAAGGCGGACGAGAGGAACCGCTGTGCCATGTCTCCATGGGGGGTTCAAGGTTCTGCATGGCGCTCCATTGGACCCGTCCTCCGACACCTCCTTTTCATCATCACCATCCTCCTCCTCCTCCTCCTCCTCAACTGTGGCGCAAACGTGTGGTCCACTGGAGTAGAATCCCAGAAAAGCTGCACGCTCCAAGTCCACAAAAGTCCACCTTCCTTATCTATCGTGGACCTGGAAGTGGTTCTTCTGGTGATGCTCACCCACCTATGCAGACTTCAACGAACCTCTGACGTCATCACAGGGATGGGTTCATATCATGCAATATGAACACAAAAGTGCTTCGTGTTGTCACATACTGAGACTGAAGCATTTTTGGGTAAAAAATTGGACCACAGCAACTTGAGTCATTTTGTAAATAAAATTTTTTAGGTTGTTTTTTTGAGAAAAAAAAAGATAAAAGTTGGGTCAAATTGATGGTTGGTCCCTGTTCAGATTTTTTTTTTTTTTTGGTCCCAACTGTTTTTAGAATCTGTGTTATTTTTCACCACTGCTCCATTTAACTCATCAGTATGGGTAGTTTTTGCCCTTCGTTGGATCAAAATCTTGACCCAAAAATAACTCAACACGCTCCCTTTTGGACCCAAAGCCCATTAGCTATTTAGCCCACTTTGGTTTACTTTTAACCCAACACTTTCAAGAGTGATATGCACAGTTTAAAACATCACGACAACACTGTGCCTGCAATGCAGGAAAATTAAAACCTACTTAAAAAAAATGATTGAATTGAAATTTATTGCACCCTAAGTTACAAATATAAAAACAAAATCTCATCTAAATAAAACATTTTTTGGGGGAGGAAAAAAAGCAGTTCCAAGATTAATAGCAAATGTACATAAAAGTTAAATACAACTGAAATTTGCTGAACAGATGCGCTCTACTAATCCAGTGCTCAAAACGATTTGCTGTATGGGAACATGACGGCTGACATTTTGTCATTTGTGCTTGAAAATATTTGAAGTTTGCCTGCATGTTTCGACCTTTCCGAGCGTGTCCGTCGGAGTTGGTCAAGCCTAAACTAAAACAAGTCGTCTCAATAATAGAGCAAGCGCAAAACAATTAACAGCCGGGGGGACTTGGCGAAGCTGAAGAGCAATTATGTGCATATTGATGAGCCAGTGTTGCTTGAGAAGCACTTACAGCCTGTCTTCACACTTCCCTGCCATTTCTCTCTGCATCCAAAGACACGCTAGCCTCTTTGTTCTGCTCGGATGCAAATCACAAAAACGCCGTACTGTACGTCCACTATGCGCATCCCAACCCCAAATCCATCTTGCCGTGCTTGCGTGTGCGCCGTTTTCGCTGCCGCTTAAACCGCCAGCTGCTTCCAGAGACTACGGTCCCTTGGTGATTCACAATAAATCAGTCCTCTTTAAATTCAAATCAACCGTCGCGAATCGTCAACCTTGCCAGTCCCCCCTGTGGAAATGAAACACCTTCAAGGAGATCTCTAAACTTTCTTACTCTTGTGGAGATTATAGGATCTCAAGCCTGGCCCGCCACACGGAGAGCTGACAGCGTTTTTTTTTCTTTTTTTTTTACACACTGCAAAAAAAAAAAAAAAAAAAAATCGAATAAAAAGAAAAAACAGTGACATTATACAACTAAATTATGTGTCGCACCGGCAGCTGTGCTTCTGTACTGTTTCATCTGACAGATGATGAGGCTCAAAAATGCGAGTTTACAGTCAAAACGTGTCAACGCACATCCGAGTGTTGTCAGGAGAATCGCAGCTGTCGGCTGGCAGCACCCGTTGCTCATTACCCCCCACCCCTCCCCACCCCTCTGCCTCCCCAAACCAATTTTATTTCACAAATATCCAGCCTGGAGGAAAATAAACGGCTACGGCAACTCTCAATCGGGTACGCACATAGAGACGATCAGACCTAGCTGTCGCGGCATATCGATAATCGGGGGTAATTTGAGCCCGATTCTCCACTTCCGGTCCAAGTAAAAAAAAATAGTGATAAAAAGATTATCCTGTGCGATGATCCTGTGGTGTGGGGTGTGTTAAGAATATTTCGTTCTAAAGGCTGAGCGATGTCATTTCCTCCATTTTTTTTTTGTTTGTTTTTTTTTCATCGGTAGGTGTCGATCTGAATCCGATGCACAAAGTCATTGTTTGGCTTATTGTGTTTGTTGACCAAAAAAAGAAAAAAAATGTTTTCCAGGTTTTGGGCAAAGTGGCTGAATTTCTTCAAACTTTTATGAGAGAACAGAAAAAGATGTTTTTCTGTTGAGTGACTATTCTTTTATTTGGTAGATCTGATGTAAAAATAATCATCGAACACAATACTCGGTGAAAATGCGGTAAAGTCGTTGCATTCTCAGTTTGCGATCAGCGCAAATGGCTGACGTTGAAGGGTTTAGAAGGTCACTGAAAAGAATTGCCTATGCAGCTTTTTTGATGTCCACAATTTGAACCAAAAATGGATTATTTCCTATGGGGGGTGGGGTGGGGGCGCCTTTCAAACAAAAATTGCTTTCAAGGGAAATTGCAATTAAAAGGCGCTCCTGTAACGGGTCATAAGTCATTTTTAAGACTTTTTTTTCTTTTCTTTAAATGCAGTGTTGCGGACATTTATTACGCTCCGCTGACTCTAAAACTGCCTCATGGAGAAAGCCAATTCATCGAGTCGTGACAGAGTTATTTCTCTGTAGCAGAAGGCGATGCAGTCGCTGAGGCCATTATTTAATAAAGAGAGTTTTTCTATCCATCTCCAGCCTTGTGAAGAAAACAGTGGATGATTTAATATGTTCATCTGTGTTCCTTCGGGGCAAACCCCGTTTCCTCACAAGGCTTAAACGAAACACGGGACCCGCTGACTCCAAACGACCAAATGATTTCATTAAGGGCGGACTGCGGCTGTCTGACATTTACGTAACGAGAGAAGACGCAAAAGGTAGTCGCTTTGCAAATGAACAACAGCTTGAACGGCGCGCTAAAGTAAATTAACTTTGAGCTAAGTCCTGCGGAGAACACCACGACGGTGCTTTCCTGTAATCACGCGGCTCGTGGGATTAATTTGGAATGAAGCATTTGTATAAGCCGCGGCTTCCGGTTTGTTCCCCTGCATAATCATGTTTGGATCCATTGTGTTGTTATTACTTTATTTTAGAACACACAAAGAGCAAAACCTTCCTGGGTGCCAGAACATTATTTTGTTTAAAAGCAGCCGTCAATGGAAATGGACTTTCCTGAGATCTATGCCCAATGGAGACAATTACAGCTACATTATTTCGTCACAGTGCCATTTTAGAAAAAAAAAGTGGACTTACAGTAAAGTAGAAGCCGACACGCTAGTTAGCACGTCCGCCTCGCAGTGCGGAAGGTGCAAGGTTCCTTTCCGACTTTGGCCTTCCTTGTGTGGATACCCTGCCTGTTGCCCGAATTCAGTTGGGATTTGCTCCAGCATGCCCCGCGACCTTCTTGGGGATAAGGCGGTTGAGATAATGGCTGGAAGGACAGTACGGTAAATTCTCTTTGCCGTTCAGCATTTGCAAATTCACTTCATTCTTTTGTCTGTTTTTTTTGTTTTGTTCTTTAAATTTGGTGAAAATTGTGCTAATTCGCAGTGCTATAACAGCTATTACTTTGGCACCATCTTGCTGTTGTTGGGTTGAAACAATTGGGGGGGGGGGGGGTTGTCCGTCTGCATTCAAGATGGCCTGTTTTGTATGCGAGGGAACAATACAAGTGAAAGTGAAAATAATTTGGGGGTTTGAACAACCTACGTAGTCTGCCTGATGCCAGTTTGTACTAGCGTGTCATTTAGCTTGTTATGCTAGCCATGACTATTGATGAACCTGTGATGATGGTTTGTTTGTTCTGAATAGTTTAACCACTTCACAAAGTTGTTTATGAAACGTGAGTTCATGATAGTGTACGTTCTGGTTGCATGATGCCGATGTTCTGCTGATGATTATTTTTGACAGGTCAGACCAAAGTGAAGCACACGACCGGCGGGCCGCCCGGGCTCCGTCCTAATTACCTGCAAATAGTGGAGGAAATTAAACGACGAAGTCAATCTTTTGTCTGTTATTTCTGTCTGTGGTAAAGCAATTGTGTCGGGTAAGGTTGGCGCTATAGTTTACATTACCACTCTCAACCACTCATCCGCCATGCTACCTGTGCCGCTTACAATAAAAGTAAAACCAACAAAAAGGAGATCCAATAGTGAGGCCAAGGAGTTGCTGCGACTTTTTTTTTCGTCTTCTGTTTTCTTATGTATGCAACAAGTACAAAAAAGTCAGACATCCCCTCAAAGGCCACAGAAACAGCAGGCTTCCACGCTACCTCACCGTTAGCTAATTGCTGTTGACATTTAGCCCGGGCTGTTAAAATCAAAAGCACTTCTTTCGCGTCGCTTACTTTTGTCTCATCACAATGGGGGGGGACACATCGGGCAAACAGCATCGCTCGCCGGCATCCGCTGAGCATCTCAATGTCTGGCCTAAAAAGAAAAAAAAATGCTGCAATTATCCCGCTGTTTGCCTTGACGGCACTTTCCAAATAGTCCCTTCCCGAGTGAAGGTTAAGGCCCCGCCCCCATCCCAAATCTCCAGGTGAAAGGGGTTCTTTGCTCCAACAGCTCCGGACTTCTTAAGCAGCTTTCAAACTCATTAGCAAGCCCTTGGGATGACACCACCTTATCAGGTTAATCGATTGCATGTTTTCATGAGTAGCTGACAGTCTGCAACTAGTTTGGCGGCGATTCGCGGTGTCTGAAGAAAAGGCTTGTCAGGTTTGGCTATTAACGGTAATCGGGATCCTTGAGCAAAATGTCGGCAATTTTTTGGGACATTTCACTCCCAACCATACTGTAGCTACTCCACTTTTAAAAAAAACTTTGCATCGAAACACAGAAACATAGAAACACATTTGTGATAAAGGTTCTTGAATAATTAATGTGCTAAGTATGCGGTTTAGATGCTGTGTGATGATGATGATGATGATGATGGTTTCCACTCAAGGTTAATTACAAGAGAAAGTATCCCTTTATTTACCAGATTATTGTACAAAGAGCGGTTAATAAATGCAAATCCTGCAAGCCACTATACTGTATTATTGAAGCATGAGAGAGATTTAAAAAAAATAAATAAATAATTTAGAGGGTGCTCTGATTCCCCCCCCCCCATATTCACATGATCTACATTTAAATCCTTCCCAGTGCTGCTATATAAACTCATCTGACTGTCACCCGCACCGTTGTAATCCCGCAGGAATCGACCATCATTGGATGTTCTTATCTGGGATATCATAGGAGGGGGTTGCTTGGCCGTAGCCATGGCAACACATGGAATACTGTATCTTTTTTTTTTTTAAAGATTGTGATCATGCTACGTTTGCCGCTTCTCCCGGAGCCATGGCAACAGCGCCGGGGTTGTGATATCGTATCCTGACAAATTGATCGTTCAATTTTCTGTGTTTGGACAAAAAGGCTGTATCCGTCCCAACGCGTCCTATGCACAGATAGAAAAGGGGAAAGGGTGGGTCGTGGGGGGGGGGGGGCTTCAATCATTCATCACATGGTCTTGCATCAGACTCAGACACTCCACATGAAACACAAAGTCGTCTTTCCGCTTGTTTGTTTCTCTTCATGCAAGATAAGCAGACTTATGGCGTATCGAGTATAAAGAAATTAGAAACACTGTCAGCGAAAACTTTTAATCCAGCTAGTGGTGTGCAAGGCGTGAAATGTGTAGCTTCACCACTCGCTCAAACAAGGTTCTAAAACAGACCGGCTCCTTCATCCCACTAAGGAAGCCAGCCTAGCCTGACTTGTCCCTTTGTGTGTGTGAGAGAGCGAGAGAGAGACAAATAGACGTTCACATACTCCCATGAACCCACCAGAGCCATCATGATGATCGCATTTAATGCCCACCCAGCTCTGAACTACACATTTTGTCCAGTCTGGACGGGTCTCCCGAGATGTTTCACCGGCGCAGGAGAGGAAAAGAATCTCATTGCGAGGACGGATTGCCAGAGAGGCTCCAGCGGGCCTATAAATCATTGTTTAATCAGGGGCGCTCGCCCAAAGTGAGGTCCCCCCCCCACACGTAGAGCTCGCATTAGCGTCGCCGGCCAGCCACCGTCGATGGCTCAGCCGCCACACTCATCGCTCCTAATGCTTACTCCCACCTTTATGTTGCCATTCCTTTTCCGATTTTTTTTTTTTTTTAACACCCTGAGCACATTCGCACGCACCGCAATGACTTATGAGACCTCAGTTTAGCAAGCAAAGGAATGATTCTGCGCCCCGGTTTGCCCTATTGTTCCAAATGCCACTTTAGGCTGTGTTTTGCTGTTTTGTTTTTTTTTCTTGAAGCAGATTATCCAAATTGACTTTGGGTGTAAACTTAAAAAAAAAAAACACAATTAAAAAAACCTGTTGTTTTCCTAACCCATTCATTGGGTAACTGGATTTGGAGCATATTGACTTAATTTTGACCCAGTAGATTGGGATGAAGAGTCCACTATTTACCTTTTTGAGTTTTCTCTGCATGTCATTACAGTACGCTCAATCCCGAAAGGTCTGGTGCTGGACGTGGTGTTTGTTCAAACGCATTTCATGGCATGTGAGGTTTCTCCTTTGATGACACGACACACACAATTCTATTTACTTTAACCCCTGCCTGCTGCAGTCATAAGAAGTGCAGCAAAAAGTTTGGCAGCTATACACGAACTGTTCATCACAAATAGGACACAAAAAAAAATTAAGTAAATTAGCCTCAAAAGCAGAAGTGGTCAAGCGAAGAAAAAAAACTGCATTGATCTTTTTAAAGTTTATTTCAAAAGTTATGGCCTTTGATGCTCATGAACCCGAATTATGGCGAACCAGACGCCCTGGACCAAGCACAATAGCCGTAGCCTTTCTTGAGGCAAGCAAAATTTTGGGTCTGCTCGTTGCTAGCCATTTTTATCGGCAGGAATTGTGTCCACAAGCACTCTGCCGGGTTGCTGATGCCGCATGGAACGGAGGTACAGCGTACGATCTGCGAGCGACCAAAGACAGGAAATTCATGAACATTGTAGAGAGATGACCGCGATTCTAATTATTGCCTATTGATTAATTGATTATGAATTCGGAGTTTTTGTTCAAAAAGGGCAAAATTTAGTTCTTACCTTGCAATCACAGCCCTTTTCATAGCGCCGCAACAGGCTCTTTTGTCCAGCGCTCACAGAACTCCACGGCTGAAAGAAATCACACCCGGTGATGCGCAGCAAGCCGTTGGACTCCAGTGTGCCTATAATGACCGAAGAAAATACAAAAAGAACGTGACATGATAAATCTCGACAGCCACAAAACTTGAAGGGAAGGCACCACTGTGCAAAGTTTGCACAGTAAGATTTACAATTATATTCAACCGCTGGCCGATTAGCCAACGCTTCCTTTGGACCTATCCATGCCTTTCTGTGCTCCTCCTGCCACATTAGTGGTGTAGCAGCTAGTTTTGGCCACATTTTGATAGCCGGGAAGAAGGGTTACAGTAGGCTAGGCTCATTCCAGGGCTAACTATTTTCTCCAGAATTGTTCCACTCCTTACCCATGAGTAGATACATGGTGCCTTTTTTCAGAGTGACTCCACATGCTGCAGAGCTGGATGCAGTGTAGATGGCATCAAAATTCCTTTTAGGGCCCTTGAACATCTGGGGGGCGGGGGGGAGACACATTAGATTTGCATCTATACAGATAATATAAGTCTTATGTCTTTTACCTTGGTCTGTTTGATGATGTACTGAATGAGTTGGTTGTCACTGTCGGTCTTCCCTCCCAAAACCTCTGCCCTGATGACTGGAAAGTGTTTTTAAATATGAATTACATTTACCAAAAGTTTATACGAGGGGGGGAAAAATAATTTCAGACACTCAGCACCTCACATAAAGCCATTAGCAAAAATATATGGTCAAAACTATTGCCTCATTTAAAAAAAATAAATAAAAAAGTCTTAAGGCCTGATTACAAAGACATTCCGAAATTCACTACAAATGGCAACAGGTAAATTGTCTTCACCTGCTTCACTACTTAGCCAGGTCAAACTTAGTTTTCTTTAAGAATTACAACCAAGTTACTTTGCAAACCATTTTGTGACAAAGTACAATAGAAATTCACCCGAATTGACGACTGAAGAAGTGTAGACTTAACCGCAAACACCAGCTTCCGAACGAACCAAACTAAATTGTTAGCTTGACAAAGTCAAGTTGGGGTGTCATTAACGCTAACAGTCTCTCAAAGTCATCTCATTGCCATTGATTACATTACAATTCGACTCGAAATGTACAACTTACCAACGTCTGCCTGACAAAACACCTCCTGCGGATGCCTCACGAGGCATTTGCAGGCGTCTGCTCCTTCCTGTAGCCGCCACAAGCACAGCAGCACCAAGGGCAGCAAGATGTTCATCACCTTCCAGCCCATTGTTGATCAATCAGGGTAATGAAGTCAAAGAAAGGCAGAAAGAGGTTTTGTTTGTGCAAACAAACACCAATATTGTTCCCGACAAAAGCACCAGAACTATGTTTCACAACAGCTGTTGGTTTGCTACTCAAGTTTGCGAGGGCCTTTTTTTATGCTGCAGACTCCGCCCACAATTAATCAACGTCACATGCACACAATGTTTACAATTGACACAAATAAATACAAACATAAATGAAAGGGACTATCTATCAGCTGGCTTGAATGTCATTTTTAAAATATTATTTTATTTTATTTTATTTTTGGGGGGTGGAGAAAGGTGGGGGGGGGGGGTCCTCAAGGGAAGTAATTTGATGTCCAATCTCATTGTCAGGGTGACACCATAGCGCCTTTAATTGACCATCAGCCACAGCTGTTATCCTGTCAGTGGAGCCCCTCCCTCCTATCAAAAAGGACGGTTTATAATTAACTTTGAAAAAAAAAATCTTACATGTGAAAAATTATCAGAATGATAAAAGCACAACCATTTTTGCTGACACTTTAGTGGTAAGTTTTCAGATTGCAGTCTGTGTCTGTTTTTTTTTTTTTTTTTTGGACAAGCCTAGGAGTAGGGGTACCATGAGAGAGATGCTGCCATGTTATTGCAGTCTCAGCAGCCTCAGAAACTGGAAGTGGAAGTACAGTACAGTGCAGGCATTCGCCAATCGTATTACGTAAGCTCCCTCTAGTGGTATGTGAAGAAATCACAATTAAATCTGCACACTCCAAGGTAAAGCGGTAGAACGCATTTGCAATTCATCACTTAAAATTGACATTTATTCATGCACAACTTGTCTTTTTTTTTTTTTTTTGCAGTCCCAGTCACCTAAAGGGTCCAATTTTTCAATAAATCTTGGCACATTGGCGCTTGTGATGCATATTTTGAGCTGCAACAAAATGTTAAAATTTTAGAATTGCCAGTATTTAATTTCAAAGCAAGCTTCAACCAAGCATGCTAAATGCAGAAATAAAATTTGTTCCATGAAGCAGTTAATTGATTCCATAACATGCTCTAGTTCGTACTGTATATAGAATTAAAATGTCAAAAAGAAAATGTTCTCTTTTCTTTATGGTAGACAGCCAAAATTGCTTTTTGAATATTTGAAGCTGCGTAGGTGTGTGCGGGGACATTTAATCAGTGTGTGAACTAACAGTGACTGAATTAGCATTTTTTTTTTCTTCCCATTGACATCCAGTTTGCTCGTCAGATGCACCTTAGCGTCACTTTTAACACATGAACATAACAGCTCGCCTCTCAATCAAATTGGGAGAACTGCCGTGCCGTCTGAAACTTCGAATGGGGGGCTCTCGATGAGTGACTGATCACTCGAAACAGCGCCCTCTGCTGGAGTGTCGACTGCGAATATTTGTGCCTGTCAAATAGCCCAGCTCACGCGTCGACGTGACGCAGTGCATTCACGTGAAAGGACAAGTTTGAGCACAATTCAGCCAGTGTTTAATATATTTCATTTAATCAATTTTTATTGATTAGTTTCCTTTTCATTCTCAGGTAGGTCGTCCCGATGGTGGCCAACCCCCTCATACCAGGTGCAAGTGCCAACAAAGTCCTTGATGCAAGCAAAGTTCTGGGCCTGTTTACCATTGCCCATCTTTGGCGGGTAATCTCTCCACAAGCACTCTGTCGGGACAGTGACGCGGCACAGGAAGGAGAAGCAGGTCTTGATCTGTGAGACGAAGGACAGATATTTAAAATATGCACATTTAAAAAATAAAAATAAAAAATAATTTAAAACTGAGCAGTTGTGTTGCTATACCGCGCAATCACAGCCCTCGCCGTAGTGGTACAACAGGTCCCTTTGTTGCTCAAGTCATCCCACGGTTGATAGAAGTCACATAGATGCACGTGCAGAGAGGCATTGGAATCCAGTCTCCCTGTAATGGCAGAGAGAAAACCTCAGAACATCTTTGAAGGATCGATGGTAAAAGTGACCTCTGAAGCCTAATAACTTCATAGTTGGAGAAAATTGGAGCTTTCATACCCATGAGTAGATATTCAACACCCTTTGTCAGAGTGACTCCACACGCTGCAGGGTCGAGCCCGGTGTAAATGGCAGTAAAGAGCTTTTCAGCACCCTTGAAGGTCTGGGTTGGGGGTGAGGGGGGAGGTTACATCTGATATCTGATGTGCATTATCTACAAAGAAGTTGCTCACCTTGATGAGGTTGATATCATACTTTGTGAGTTTCCCTTCCATGCCAGGTGTCACTCCAACAACCTTCGCTTTGATAACTACAAAGAAAAATTTAAGAAATGCATAAAAATGGCATTCTGAAGCAAAGATGGCTGCACAAATGGGGTGGGAATAAAACACTGGAGAGAAAAAAAAAAAAAAGCATGTTTATGTCATGTTCCGTAATTGACAGCAGGTGGCTGACGTTTCATTTCTGCTGCCTACACACCTGCTACCTATTTGTCAATGATTACACCTGCTATATCTAAGCACTCCGGCTTTCGACTCATTGCCGGAGTATTGCAGGCCGTGCCACTGTTATTGCCCATGCTCGTAGACCTTATTCGAATACAATTGTTGTTTGCTACACTTTCGTCAACCCATTGGGATTATTCAGCATCGCATACTTGACCTAGTAAATTGTCTTATCCGTTTCCTTGCCGTTTTTTCGCAAGCGCTTTGTTTTTTCGCGTTACATTATTTCCTGGTTCTCGTTTTGACCAGCGTTTTCTGTTTTCCATTAGACGGAGTTTTTCGTTTGGAATAAATATTATTTTGAAACGAAGGCCTTGTCAGTGTCTGCTCCTTCGGGGATCCACTTATTGTCATTCGCTCTGTTGCGTACGAAGCAGTTCTTTTTTTCTGCCTTGTACGCAACGAGACAGTTTATGTCAGGGGGTGCTGGGACAAAATTCATCCGACTACAAAATTCTGTCATGCAAATACAAATTGAACCATAAAAAAATAAAATAAAAATGATTGAAAGTGGAGTCCCCTGAAACTTACCGACAGCATCCGCTTGGCAGTACGCCTCCTGCGGATGCATCCGGAAGCAGCTGCAAGCTTGCGGTCCTTCCTCGCAGGGCCCCCACAAGCACAACAGCAGCAGGGGGAGTTGCTATGCAGTTTTTTTTTTGGCATCGAGGTCAAATAACCCAACTCATGCGTGTACTTTACACACTGCACTAATGTGAACTGACAAGTTTGCGCACAATTCAGCCGGTGTTTAACCATACAGGAAAAGAGAAATGTGATAATGTTTTTTTTATTTTTCATCATTAGCTTTTCAGGGTTGGGTATCCATTTGGCTGATAGATAGCATACACAAAATGTTTTTTCTCCACCTTGAACCGCACAAATCAAAAACCTGTATGGAAATTTTCAACACTTTCTTCCACAGATAAATTGTATTTCACCATTTGTTTCATTTGATATTATTTTGCAACTTCTCTGGTGTATTAATTTGTTGTACACTAATTATATTCAAGTCTTGTGTAAGTTCCTGCATATTTTCAAATAGTTATTTAAAAAATAAAAATCAACTGACATACTCGGGGCTTTTATGTATTCCAGGAAAAGTAGTTGCAGTTGCTCGACCCTTTGACGAGGGAAAGTGCGGCTAAGAACACAGGGGGGCTTCCCCACCCTAGTAAAATGTACAATTCCAACTTCCAAAAAACATCACACTTCTAAAGGGTATCATGTAATTGAAAAGAAAGAAAAAAAAACTTTTTAGCAAGTACGCAACACTTGAGAAAGTTCATGTCAGTGCCCAGCCAGCAGACTACTTGGGAATCCCCAAGCAGATTCCAAATCCGACTGAGTCAGTGGTCGAGTCATTGAAAGACCAAGATCAGACATCTTACACCCAGACTGTTGCCTCTCACATTGCACTGTTGCCAAACTGGGGTTCAGTGGCCATTTAGGCATAAATTTCAATCAACCTAAGGGAAAAAAAAATGATAAAAATCACATTGAAATTAATGAAATGCAGACTATTGCACAGGCCATCAACAAGAGTGGTTGAAGACAAAAGGCTGGTCAGGTACAGGCGAAGTACTGGAAAACTCAATCACGTTTGAGCGGTGAGCCCCCCGCCCCTAACCCCCACCAAAAAAAAAAAGTTTGCTATGCAGTTTTTTTTTTGGCATCGAGGTCAAATAACCCAACTCATGCGTGTACTTTACACACTGCACTAATGTGAACTGACAAGTTTGCGCACAATTCAGCCGGTGTTTAACCATACATGAAAAGAGAAATGTGATCTTTTTTTTTTTATTTTTCATCATTAGCCTTTCAGGGTTGGGTATCCATTTGGCTGATAGATAGCAGGCCTGTCCCAAGCACAACAGCCGTCGCTTTTCTTGACGCAAGCATAGTTTTGGGCCTGGTCGCGATTGCCCAACTTGCCCGGCAGGAAGTCTGTCCACAGGCACTCCGTCAGACTGGTCATGCAGCACGGGAAGGAGATGCAGGACTATTGTTGTTTGCTACACTTTCGTCAACCCATTGGGATTATTCAGCATCGCATACTTGACCTAGTAAATTGTCTTATCCGTTTCCTTGCCGTTTTTTCGCAAGCGCTTTGTTTTTTCGCGTTACATTATTTCCTGGTTCTCGTTTTGACCAGCGTTTTCTGTTTTCAATTAGACGGGTTTTCTGTTTTCCATTAGACGGAGTTTTTCGTTTGGAATAAATATTATTTTGAAACGAAGGCCTTGTCAGTGTCTGCTCCTTTGGGGATCCACTTATTGTCATTCGCTCTGTTGCGTACGAAGCAGTTCTTTTTTTCTGCCTTGTACGCAACGAGACAGTTTATGTCAGGGGGTGCTGGGACAAAATTCATCCGACTACAAAATTCTGTCATGCAAATACAAATTGAACCATAAAAAAATAAAATAAAAATGATTGAAAGTGGAGTCCCCTGAAACTTACCGACAGCATCCGCTTGGCAGTACGCCTCCTGCGGATGCATCCGGAAGCAGCTGCAAGCTTGCGGTCCTTCCTCGCAGGGCCCCCACAAGCACAACAGCAGCAGGGGGAGCACAAAGTTCTTCCAGCTCATCGTTGAAGCTTCCGGAAAACAACCACGTTGCAGTTCCAGAAGGGTATCCGTGTTGAGTCACACCGGCAAGTTCACTCTCCTTGACTTCTGGGGGACAAGGACCATTTTACAGCAGTAGACTCCGCCCACAATAAATAACGTCACCTGCCCACGCTCATTAATGACTGTGTTCACCTGAGACTTTCATCACCAATAAAATTCAATAAATTCCCTATGAAATGATGCATAAATTTTATTTCTGCCGGCATAGAGTAAATGCGATAGATAAATATTGTCTGCAATTTCGGTAGTGAGGTTAAAAAAAAAATCCATTTGTTCTGGCCTTATATAACTACATACACAAAATGTTTTTTCTCCACCTTGAACCGCACAAATCAAAAACCTGTATGGAAATTTTCAACACTTTCTTCCACAGATAAATTGTATTTCACCATTTGTTTCATTTGATATTATTTTGCAACTTCTCTGGTGTATTAATTTGTTGTACACTAATTATATTCAAGTCTTGTGTAAGTTCCTGCATATTTTCAAATAGTTATTTAAAAAATAAAAATCAACTGACATACTCGGGGCTTTTATGTATTCCAGGAAAAGTAGTTGCAGTTGCTCGACCCTTTGACGAGGGAAAGTGCGGCTAAGAACACAGGGGGGCTTCCCCACCCTAGTAAAATGTACAATTCCAACTTCCAAAAAACATCACACTTCTAAAGGGTATCATGTAATTGAAAAGAAAGAAAAAAAAACTTTTTAGCAAGTACGCAACACTTGAGAAAGTTCATGTCAGTGCCCAGCCAGCAGACTACTTGGGAATCCCCAAGCAGATTCCAAATCCGACTGAGTCAGTGGTCGAGTCATTGAAAGACCAAGATCAGACATCTTACACCCAGACTGTTGCCTCTCACATTGCACTGTTGCCAAACTGGGGTTCAGTGGCCATTTAGGCATAAATTTCAATCAACCTAAGGGAAAAAAAAATGATAAAAATCACATTGAAATTAATGAAATGCAGACTATTGCACAGGCCATCAACAAGAGTGGTTGAAGACAAAAGGCTGGTCAGGTACAGGCGAAGTACTGGAAAACTCAATCACGTTTGAGCGGTGAGCCCCCCGCCCCTAACCCCCACCAAAAAAAAAAAGTTTGCTATGCAGTTTTTTTTTTGGCATCGAGGTCAAATAACCCAACTCATGCGTGTACTTTACACACTGCACTAATGTGAACTGACAAGTTTGCGCACAATTCAGCCGGTGTTTAACCATACAGGAAAAGAGAAATGTGATAATGTTTTTTTTATTTTTCATCATTAGCTTTTCAGGGTTGGGTATCCATTTGGCTGATAGATAGCAGGCCTGTCCCAAGCACAACAGCCATCGCTTTTCTTGACGCAAGCATAGTTTTGGGCCTGGTCGCGATTGCCCAACTTGCCCGGCAGGAAGTCTGTCCACAGGCACTCCGTCAGACTGGTCATGCAGCACGGGAAGGAGATGCAGGACTTGATCTGTGGGTGATTGAGACCAAGGCTTTCATTACATTTTCTCTCACGCCTCAAGAGCACCAGTGACAATTGATTGGCCACTTTAACACAAACAAGCATCGACCCCAGAATTCTATCAACAAATTGCTCTTACTATACATTTAAAGCACTATTGTGTTGGTACCGTGCAATCGCATCCCTCTCCGTAGTGGTACAACAGGTGCTTTCGCATGATGCTCAAGTCCTTCCACGGCCGATGGATGTCACACAGGTGGACGTGCAGCGATCCATCAGACTGCAGTCTGCCTGTATTGGCAGAAGAAAACGCGGGCGGGGCGGGGGTCGGTCCTTGGCTGTGGAATGGTTTCCATATTGGGGAAAAAATAAATTGTTGCAGCTTTTATACCCATGAGTAGATATTCAACACCCTTGGTCAGAGCGACTCCACAAGCTGCAGAGTCGGGTCCGACCCAGACTGTTGCCTCTCACATTGCACTGTTGCCAAACTGGGGTTCAGTGGCCATTTAGGCATAAATTTCAATCAACCTAAGGGGAAAAAAAAATAATCACATTGAATTTAATGAAATGCAGACTATTGCACAGGCCATCAACAAGAGAGTGGTTGAAGACAAAAGTCTGGTCAGGTACAGGAAAGGGGGCAGGCGAAGTAATGGAAAACTCAATCACAAGTGTTGAGCCCCCCTCACCCCCACCAAAAAAAAAAAAAAAATGTTTGCTATGCAGTTTATGGTTGAAGACAAAAGGCTGGTCAGGTACAGGCGAAGTACTGGAAAACTCAATCACGTTTGAGCGGTGAGCCCCCCGCCCCTAACCCCCACCAAAAAAAAAAAGTTTGCTATGCAGTTTTTTTTATGGCATCAAGGTCAAATAACCCAACTCATGCGTGTACTTTACACACAGCACTCATGTGAACTGACAAGTTTTCGCACAATTCAGCCGGTGTTTAACCATACATGAAAAGAGAAATGTGATCTTTTTTTTTTTATTTTTCATCATTAGCCTTTCAGGGTTGGGTATCCATTTGGCTGATAGATAGCAGGCCTGTCCCAAGCACAACAGCCATCGCTTTTCTTGACGCAAGCATAGTTTTGGGCCTGGTCGCGATTGCCCAACTTGCCCGGCAGGAAGTCTGTCCACAGGCACTCCGTCAGACTGGTCATGCAGCACGGGAAGGAGATGCAGGACTTGATCTGTGGGTGATTGAGACCAAGGCTTTCATTACATTTTCTCTCACGCCTCAAGAGCACCAGTGACAATTGATTGGCCACTTTAACACAAGCATCCACTCCAGAATCCTATCAAACAAATTGTTCTTACTATACATTTAAAGCACTATTGTGTTGGTACCGTGCAATCGCATCCCTCTCCGTAGTGGTACAACAGGTGCTTTCGCATGATGCTCAAGTCCTTCCACGGCTGATGGATGTCACACAGGTGGACGTGCAGCGATCCATCAGACTGCAATCTGCCTGTATTGGCAGAAGAAAACGCGGGCGGTGGGGGGTCGGTCCTTGGCTGTGGAATGGTTTCCATATTGGGGGAAAAAATAAATTGTTGCAGCTTTTATACCCATGAGTAGATATTCAACACCCTTGGTCAGAGCGACTCCACAAGCTGCAGAGTCGGGTCCGGTGTGAACGGCCGTAAAGAGCTTTTCAACACCCTTGAAGGTCTGGAAAAAGTCGCAGTCATGTTTCATGTGCTTCCATTGAAGAAATGCGAATATGGCGAATATTTCACCTTCATGAGTTTGATGTCATACTTTGTGAGTCTTCCTTGGCCGCCAGGCGTCACTCCGACCACCTTCGCCTTGATCACTACAAAGTTTCGGAAAGATTTGCATGAGAAATGATTTCATTCTTCTGTGGCAAAAAAAAAAAAAAAAAAAAAAGTTTGAAAGCGGAGTCCCATTCAACTTACCGGTGACATCAGTTTGGCAATACAACTGCTGCGGATGCATTGGGAAGCAGCTGCAGGCTTGCACTCCTTCTTCCTGGAGCCCCCACAAGCACAGCAGCAACAGCACAAAATTCTTCAAGCTCATCATTGACACTGTCACAAACTCAAACAAAGACCTTTTTTTTTTTTTTTTTTGGTTGTGTAAAAAGCATGCCACACCAGCAAGTTGATACTGCTTGGACTCAAGCCTGACGAGGGCCTTTTTATAGTAGTAGACTCCGCCCACAATTAAGCGATGTCACTTGCACGCGCTGATAGATAATTGTTTTCACCTGACTCTTTTCTCACCATCAAAATGAAAGCGATTTCCTGTCAAATATCGCAAAGATTTTATCCCATTCGTTTTTCCCTGCGGAAGTTTCAGAAAGATATAAATTGCATTTTTTGTAGTGAGGAAAAAAAAAACCACTGCACCATTTGTTCTGCTCGCGTGCATACGTCAAACAGTTGTGGTGTAAATTGACAACATTGACTAGACCATATTTATTCGGCTTCGGAAGAAAATGTTTCGGTCTGCAACGAACAATTTTAATCGTCAATCAATGTTTCTTTGTTTTTTTTCAATTCTTTGATGAATCAGATTTTCTACAAATGTATTTTCCATTGCTTTTAAGAAAAACATACAGGACATTTGATATTGACAGTGCAGAAAATGCACAAATGTAAACGGTTGTTGGCTCAGTTAGTGTGAGTGTATCCATTGGGCCAACATCTATAATGTGCTATTTATTTTTTCTCCCCAAAAAAAATCTCAATTTTTGCCCAAGTTGCCCTTTCACAGTTTAAAGGGAGCAGCCAATTCCTCCATTTTCAATCAACAACGACTTGAACCAAGCAACATCAATGTAGTGGAAACAATACATGGACTGGGGTGGTCAGGAGCAACATCGGAATTCACATTCATGAAATAACATCCACAACATTGCTCACATCCGGAAGAGCAAACCTAAGGATAAATTAGCCTTTAGAAATTATTTAGCTATGATTTGGGTGAGCCATTGATTGCAGTAAACAAAACAGTGTTGGCTCCAGTTGGTTGTTAGCTACCAGATGAGTGCAAAAAGTTAACGAGTTAAAGCAAATGAAATGGTGAAAAGAGATCACCAAATCATTTTTGGCTTTATCCTGTTGTTCTGGATCCGTGTGCAGTTCATGAAAAGCTGACTGTGGCTGGTACGATAAACAATGACTTCTCAGTTACGGAATTGTGCTAATGGGCCGTCTTAACCAAAAGGGCCAGAGCTGATTTTTTTTTGTGTGTGTGTGTGTGTGTGTGTGTGTGTGTGTGTGTACGTGAACATCAATATGAAAGCAGAAGCAAAAGCAGCAATTTAATCAGTGATTTATTCTCATTGAACCCAACAGCTTTGGCTTCATCAATTTTTATTGATTAGTTTCCATCTCATGCCCTGGTAGGTCGTCCCGATGATTGTGAGCAACCCCCTCGTACCAGGCACAAGAGCCGCCCCTTTTCTTGATGCAAGCAAAGTTCTGGGCCTGGTCACCATTGCTCATCTTTGGCAGGAAGTCTGTCCACAAGCACTCTGTCGGAACAGTCATGCAGCACGGGAAGGAGAAGCAGGTCTTGATCTGTAAGTGACCAAGGACAGGTATTTAAAATGTGCCTACAAAAAGAAAAAAAAAATTCAAAAATCCATCAGTTGTGTTGCTACCGTGCAATCACAGCCCTCGCCGTAGTGGTACAACACATCCCTTTGTTTGTTACTCAAGTCATCCCACGGTTGATAGAAGTCACATAGATGCACGTGCAGTGAGGCATTGGAATCCGGTCTCCCTGTAATGGCAGAGAATAGCAAAGAGAGGAAAAACCTCAGAACATCTTTGAAGGATCGATGGTAAAAGTGACCTCTGAAGCCTAATAACTTCATAGTTGGAGAAAATTGGAGCTTTCATACCCATGAGTAGATATTCAACACCCTTGGTCAGAGTGACTCCACACGCTGCAGGGTTGGGCCCGGTGTAAATAGCAGTAAAGAGCTTTTCAGCACCCTTGAAGGTCTGGGTTGGGGGTGAGGGGGGAGGTTACATCTGATATCTGATGTGCATTAAAGAAGATATACAAATAAGTCGCTCACCTCGATGAGGTTGATATCATACTTTGTGAGTCTCCCTTCCGTGCCAGGTGTTACTCCAACAACCTTCGCCTTGATAACTAGAAGGAAAAGTTTAAGAAATGCGTGAAAGACTTAAAAAGGGCATTTTGGAATTGAGATGGCCGCACAAATGGGGTGAGAACAAAATATTTAAAAAAAAAAAAAAAAAAAAAAAAGACAAAGCATGTTTATGTCAGGCGGATGATGGGACAAAATTCACCTTTGACTGGAAAGTTCTGTCATCTGAGTACAAATTGAACCATAAAAAAATAAAAAATAAAAAGATTGAAAGTGGAGTCCCCTGAAACTTACCGACAGCATCCGCTTGGCAATACACCGCCTGCGGATGCATCGGGAAGCAGGTGCAAGCTTGCGCTCCTTCCTCGCAGGGCCCCCACAAGCACAACAGCAGCAGGGGGAGCACAAAGTTCTTCCAGCTCATCGTTGAAGCTTCGCAGAAACGATCACTAAAGCAAGTTGCGGGACCACGATGCGGTTCCAAAAGGGTAGCTGTGTTCGGTCATTTCACTCTCTGCTTGAACAAGGACCGTTTTATAGCAGCAGACTCCGCCCACTATTAAGCAACATCACCTGAGACTTTCATCACCAACAACATTCAAGACATTTTCCAGAAACCAGTTCGTACCTAAATTGAATACATTTTTATAGTGAGGTGAAGAAATGTTTGTCCATTTGTTCTGGTTTAAGTTGTTTTATCAGTACCTTTTGTTCAAATAAAGTTCATTTAAAAAAAAAAAAGAAAAAAGTCCTGACAAACACGCTGAATTTTTGGGGGATGGGGTGAGTTGTACATATGACTCGGAAAAGTACACTCAAAAGTCACTCGAACTGAAAATTCACCAAGTCAGGAAAAAAAAAACATATCTTCCCCCTTGCCTTCAGAGTTGCTTCAATCCGATGTCACTCGACAACGGTGACTCGCATGAAGACACAAACCATGCAGAGCAAAACAATTTCCAAGAATTATAAACTATTGACATTTTGTCATTTGAAACATCACGTGTTACTCAGTTAAATACACTGTATGAAATACTAAAGAGATTCCTTTAAAATAAAGCAAATTATGAAGGGAGCTTTGGAGGTCAGTGTTTTGTGGACCAGCACATGACCCAAAAATTATACATGTATTGCAATCAACCTTCTTTTCATCTTTTTCATTCACCGGGAACACATTGAGGATGCAACCTTTACAATCCAAGTGGTTTTAATCAAACTTTTTTGGAATGTAGTCCAGGCAGGGGTTTTTCCTGTAACCTGTTAACAACTGGGAGGGATACAAAAAAAACCCCTGCCTATGTTGCTTGTCAAGTTACGTGGAGGAGAGAAAAATAAAAAATAAAAATCCTTGTAGTGACTATTTCATATAGAATTGCAAAGTTTCTTGCAGTGGCCGTCACAAAAGCAGTTAAATCTCTCTCTCACTCTCCGAGGTAAAAGATCCATGGATGGAGGAAAGGGGGGGGGGAGCCATTCCTTAGCAGATCCCCTTGTTTGCAATGCAATCTCTATGTGAAGTAACTCAGCTCACATGTTAACTGTATGCAGTCATTTTGAGTCTGCAAGCATTGAATCAACTTTGATGACGTTTGTATTTTTTAATTTGGAATCATTAGCCTTTCAGGGATGTCCCAAGGACAATAGCTGTCGCTTTTCTTGACTCTTGACGCAAGCATAGTTTTGGGCCTGGTCGCGATTGCCCAACTTGCCCGGAAGGAAATCTGTCCACAAGCATTCAGTCAGACTGGTAATGCAGCACGGGAAGAAGACGCAAGATTTGATCTGTGGGTGACAAAAAAGGATTTATGAAGATATTCAAGAACGGCAATAATTTCAAGAGCAGTTGACTCCTGTCCATGAGTAATACAGAATGCTATAGATCAGGGGTGTCAAACATACGGCCCGCGGGCCGGAACCGGCCCCCAAGGAGGTTTGATCCGGCCCGCGGGATGATTTAAAAGTGAAAAAAAAAATGCATTAAAGACACAGAATGAATATTTTAAATAAAATGCAATTCGTGGATTATCCGCTAGGGGGCACATTGTTTTGATCACAGTAGAAGACAACATTGTTTTGATCGGAGAAGAAAACAGCAGTAAACGCAGCAAATGATATGAAAGCGCCAATCAATGCTTCTTGAGACCAAAACAAAGGAAAGAGATGATATTTTGGTGATTCGTAGCACAGTATGGTATAATGTTAATGGTCTGGCCCACTTGACATCTACCGAGTCCGTATGTGGCCCACAATGTGAAATGAGTTTGACACCCCTGCTATAGATGAAAAAGAAAAAAAGTTACGCCACTACCGTGCAATCGCAAGCCATCTTGCGTAGCGGTACAATAGGTGCTTTCGCGTGATGCTCAATTCATTCCATTTTAGCTCCCTTGAAGGTCTGGGGGAGGAAAAAAAAAAATAGTCGAGATTCAGGTCTAATGTGCATCCATGAAGATATATGAATATCGTAAGCATCTCACCTTGGTGAGTTTGATGTCGTACTTAGAGAGTCTGCCAGTCTCTTGCGTGCCAGGCGTCACTCCAATAACCTTTGCCTTGATGACTAGAAAGAACATTTTTAAAATGTATAAAAGACTGTCTCAGGTGAAAAGAGTCATTAATCAGTGTGGGCAAGTGATGTTGCTTAATTGTGGGCGGAGTCAACAGCGATAAAAAGGCCCGTCGTTCAATTCAAGTAGAGTCATCTTGCTGGTGTTGTATGCTTTTTGCACAAGCAAATGAGGCAATTGCCTGGTTCAGAGACAGCTGGTAATGTTTCATCAAAGAATAACCTGGATCTAGTCGACAATTGAGGAAGTTGGCAGCTCAAAATTTCAAGGCCGCAAAGATTGAACAAACTTAAAACTTTAACTTGGGCAGTTCCACTTAAGTTTTGCTGTTGAGACTGATAATTTGCTGTACTTCCTTGTATTATCCCACCAATGTCAAGTTAACTTGGCAAATTGGGGCATTCTTGAATAAATGGCAAGTTATATCAAAGTGATTTAAAGTTTAACTTTAAAAAGTTTAGTCTAAAAGCAACAAGGTGCATCCAGGTTGGAGGGCTTGGTAGGATCATAATGCAGAGGCGTAGGGTGAGATTCTGACTCCTTTGTGTGGAGTTTGCATGTTCTCCCCGGGCCTGCGTGGGGTTCCCCCCCCCCCCGTTTCCTCCCACATTCCAAAAACATGGCAGGCTTATTGAACACTAACTTGTTCCGTGTAAGTGTGGATAGATGTTCATCTGTGTGCCCTGCAATTGGCTGACAACGAGTTCAGGGTGTCCTCTGCCTACTTCCCAAAGACAGCTGGGAAGGTACCGTTAAGGTACCAAATAGTCTTTGCACATCAAAAATATTTCCTCCATATCTCACTGCACAAATCAAAAGGCTGTCAAGATTTTTTTTTCCTCTTTACATCAGTTGATGTGATTTTAAGTTGAACATGGTATCCAAGCTTCATGCCTGTGTGAATCATTTGAAAAGCCAAAACATCTGGACACAAAAAGTATGAACACCCACCAAATAGTTTCACAAGTCATCGCAATTTTAACCAGAGCACTCACCAATACAATGAAGTATGTGTTAGGAATCTTAACCTTCATAGAAGTAAAGGAGTCAGACAATACTGAATTCTCAAAAAAAAACCACCTGCATTTATTTTAATTTAATAGCCTTAGTCGGCTATCCCTGTGGGGGCCAGGAAGGTACATAGTGCCAGCCACAACTGCCATCTTTTTTCCTGATGCAAGCAGCGTTTTGGGCCTGCTCGCCGTTGCCCATCTTCCCTTCCAGGACGTCTCTCCACAGGCACACTGACGAGCCGGTTATGCAGCATGGGTAGGAGAAGCAGGACTTGATCTGCGGGCGACCAAGGATGGGAATTTCATCAACATGGTCACAGAACATTGCAGAAACGACAAAAAAAGTTTGAATTGCTCAATTTTGTTTCATCGAGTGGTTGCAGATTAATTTTAGACTAATGCATTTGCTTGAAATTTTCTGTAAACACCTGACAAAATAAAAATGAGTCAATTTATCATCACCACCCCCCCACTAAATCCACCTGTTGCATTCCTACCGTGCAATGGCAGCCCTGGTCATAGCGGTACAAAAGGACCCTCTGCACAGAACTCAAGGCACTCCATGGTTTATAGAAGTCACACAGGACCATACGCAGCGTGCGATCTGGCTCCAGTCTGCCTGTAGACAGAGAGAGGGGGTGGGGGGGTGTCCTGATTTGGCAGCAATAGGCTCCCGTAGTTAAATGTCAAAACCGCATCATAAAAAAAATACACCCCAAAACACTTTAGGGACCAAAGGCAACATTTTGTAGACATCAAAGGCTTACATTCGGGTGCCAACAATAGATTGCGTTTGCATCGGTTAAATAAAATATGTTTGAGGTTTTTATACCCATGAGGAGATACTCAACGCCGTTGGTCAGAGTGACTCCACAAGCTGCAGAGGAGGGTGCAGTGTAGACGTCGCGAAAGCGCTTTTTAGAGCCCTTGAAGTACTGGAAAAGCGGATAAGTGGCGACCTCGTGAGAAGTTGTTCAATTTGCATACAATTTAAGTCTCTCACCTTTGTTTGTTCGATGTCATACTTGGTGAGACGTTTTACGGGTGTGGCATGCGTGACGCCAACAACTTTTGCCCTAATGACTGAAAGATAGGTTTTGAAAAGATGCATTAAAAACAGTTGTTTGGGTGGCTCCTGGCACAAAAATTAATGAGTGAACCCAGTGGCAAGCTCTGTCACACAGAATAATCACGCCATCCAAGTATACCCCATATCAATTGATTCAAGTGGCTTACCAACAACATCTTTTTGGCAAAACACCTGCTGCGGATGCATTGGTAAACAGCTGCAGGCTTGCGCTCCTTCCTCTTGCAGCCCCCACAAGCACAACAGCACAAGAGGTAGTACAAAATATTGCCAGGTCATCGTTGATAGCTAAAGTGGGGGGAAAGCCAAAAACTGGAAGAGCAGATTCGAGTTGCGCAAAACGCGAGCTCTGTTTCACTCTGCTGGAGTCAAAGTTCATGTGGGCCATTTTATGGGCGTAGATCTCCTCGCGGGTGACGTCACTTGCATACTAGAATGATTGTTTTCATCTGTTTTTCCCCATTAAGCGCAATTAAGCACACGGGAGAGCACGTGCATGTGTGCATGGTGACTGACCAATAGAGGGCGCTAGGATGCCGTCCCATAACTCACCAAGAAGACATGAATTTGTTTTGTTTGTTTGTTTATTTCTTTATTAAAACATCGTACAATACACAAAAATGGCATCAATCGGATTTTAACAAATATCTGCCAAGGGAGTAGTAGCTATCCGACAATAAGCACAACACACATATAACAATTAAATAAGATAAATACAATACATCCTGATTTATATGGCGCTTTGACAACAGCTGTAACTGTAAATATAAAATAACAAAAATAAAATCAGGATACATGTACTGTATCTTAATGCAAAGGACATGAAAAAAAAACATGGAGGAGGTTGAAAACAGTCATTTTTGTAATT